AGAGTCAAAGTCCACACATCTTGAAGTTGCCAAGGTTGAGAAACACTGATTTAAACTAACAACATTTATTTTCAGTTGAACTTTGCTGTGTTCTCAACAGTTATTTGTGCCCTATTGAAAATGTCCTCATCTGAACTATGCAGTCATTCATATTAGAACTGTTGCAAGAATAGCTTGCACTACAGCAAATACATTAAGAGAAGAAAGTGGAAGCCTGAGGTGGTATTTGCAGAGAGAAAAGAATGCAAAGGCAATAACTATATGTGCCCTAACTAATCAGATCACAAACCGGTTACCAGGTACAATTCTCACACACAAAAGGAAACCAAATCTGAGCCTTTCAATTATTGCCACATTCATTAGCTGTGTACAGATAATCCTTGCTTACCACCCACAATTGGGACTGGCAACTCTGTCACTAATCACCATGATCCCTAAGCAAAAAATCAAGTGACCGCACCAGACTATGATGTCACTTCTGCTTCCAACATTAAGTGAATCACATGACCACAGGACACTGCAATGGTCGTAAACACCCGCTGGTTGCGAAGCACCTGAATGGTGATCATGTGGCTGCAGGACACTGCAACGGTCATAAATACGAGGATTGGTCACAAAGCTGTTTTTTTTAACTGTTGTAACTTTGAATGGTTGCTAAACAAGGCAGTTCGTAAGCAAGGACTACCTATGTAGTTGAGACAGTAAACATTACTCAAAGCACTTGTACAAGAAGCCCCAGGACTGAAAGAATATCTAATATACTGGCTGAAGAACAAGAAATCATTAGGGCAGGTCAAACTACTATAGACTAATATAGTAGTAATATATAATATAGTCTAATCTACAGCTGTCTGAAAAATGTATTGCTGGGGCATCCTTTGCTGACTGTGTTGACAGACACAAATTGTGGGAGAAACTGGAAGCATTCACTGCTGACTATTCTTTTTTATTTATCAATTGCATGAAAATAACTACAGGGTTATTATGTAATTACAGGGTATTTACATACAACCAACTAACATGCAATTCTCAAGACTACTTGATAATGACTGGTCAGTTCTTTTAATTTTTATATAAACTCACTGGTCCAAACTCTTTCTAAGACTAGATTTCTTCCTCCAAGATTGACATATTGTCCCAACTCTGAATTACTTTATGTGGATGATACTGTTATTTTATATTCTACAGCAGTTGAGCTGAGGAGTTTTTAACTACTGATCATAAGAAGAAAAACTCACCATAAATTACCAAAAGACTAAAACAATGTTTTTCTCCAAAAGCCAAGTCAGATCAGTAAGTCAAATAAGTAGCAGATCAACATCCATATTACTGAGTAGGTAAAGGCTTCCTAGACAGCTATGGAGGCTATGGAGAATGACCAAAGAAACGTAACAGCAATTCTTCATTTGTTCTACACAAATGGAGCTGCATATATT